AACTTGAAAGACAAAATTTTACTTTGAAATAATTAAAGCTTATTTTATTAAAATGAACAGTATTGCTTCCTTTTTGCTGTTTTTGATTGCCTGGTTGTGGGGATTTTGCACTTTTTCGGACAGTTTCGTAGTTAGCTTGAAGTCCTCGGCTTGGCCAAAATACACCAAGTACGGAACTATTTTCCGAAAAACATCATGTTCTACTATCAAACGTTTTTTCTTATTCAAATACATTCTTTATTAGAATGTTCATGGCAAGTACCTGAAAAAAAAATAAATAAATAAATAAATAAATAAATAAAGTCGGGTGTCACTGTGCTTGTTTCCTCGCAAACTGCCTTGAAAGGTGGTCATGGTTTTGAGATTGTAGTCAGGATGGAGAATTTGTGCGGTGGGGACTGGAACGAGACATAAAATGGTGCCCATCGTGCTCGAAGTATACACTCAATATCAAGCTTGTTTTCGGTTGTTTTTATGTGTTTGATATTGCTAACACAAAAATTCACACTTGGAAAGAGTGAAAAAATAACAAAGAATGAGGTAAGTCAAGATTTGATGAGATTTTGAAGTTATGAAACTTTAGTTTCATAAAACCGTTGTAGCGCTGGCGTTCTGTTAATCGCTGTGTCTCTATATCCGGCAGCCGGACAGTGTTTTCAAAATACTCCGTGTCCGGCAGTCAATTTCTTTTTTAATTTTCAGGTAATAATAACAAATCTTTCTTTACATGGCTGAAAACTTCACTATTTCCACCGTAGTGGGAGTTTTCGTGAGCTCTACAACCGGTATGCCGGTATTCATAACTTTGAAGCTCGCCACGAGCTTCCGGACAGGAAATTGAAAATACTCCGTGTCCGGCAGTCGAATATTTTCTCGAATATTAAGTCATTACACTCAATATATTCGAGTTGTACCATCCTAGGCGGTGTTATTGTTGCTTACATGGCTAAAGAGTACGATTACCAGTTTTTAAACTGCCGTGAAATGTAGTGTTTTCCACGAGCTTCCGGACACGAAATCGTAAATGCTACTAATCCGGCGCAGTGAAATATTTCCCCAATATTAAGCCGCTGACCTCGGCGATACTAGTGAAGCGCTCTACCGAATCCCGTACAGGCCTGATTTTTTTCAGGTCTGATCTTCGCCATTGCATAAATAGCGCTATCTACTGCGAAGGATCGTGCATCATACGTATTTAATACCGCAGTTCAAAATATATAAACTTCATATATATTCATTGTATCTGATTTATCATCACGGGTTTATTACGAATCAACTTAACGGCCTGCTCCCAGTTGGCTTGTTAGCTCAATTGGTAGAGCGCTGCACTAGTATCGCAGAGGTCAGTGGTTCGAATCCCGTACAGGCCTGATTTTTTTCAGGTCTGATTTTCGCTATTGCATAAATAGCGCTATCTACTGCGAAGGATCGTGCATCATACGTATTTAATACCGCAGTTCAAAATATATGAACTTCATATATTCATTGTATCTGATTTATCATCACGGGTTTATTACGAATCAACTTAACGGCCTGCTCCCAGTTGGCTTGTTAGCTCAATTGGTAGAGCGCTGCACTAGTATCGCAGAGGTCAGTGGTTCGAATCCCGTACAGGCCTGATTTTTTTCAGGTCTGATCTTCGCTATTGCATAAATAGCGCTATCTACTGCGATGGAGCGTGCATCATACGTAATCCTGTTTTAGTTCGCAACTTCGCATTCCTTGCCTTCTGAGGTCTCATTACATCATATGTTTTCAAATAGTTCCTCTTTTTTAACACTCTCTGCCCCCTAACCCTAACCCTTTGTGGCCAGTCCGTACTGCGCACTCGTGAGAATTGTTTGTTTGTTTGTTTGGTTTCATGTAAGACATCAAAAAATGAAAAACATTTCGTATCTAATTATATGAGGTAAATTCAAAGTTTTATGTCAACCACCATTATGGCACGTATCTTATCTCATATCAATTGATGAAAAAGGGAGGCCCTCCTGAGCTCGTTACAAAGTGTCCGTGCGTTAAGATCGAATTAGAATTTAGAACTGATGGTTTTTGTGGAGGAAGTGTTGGGAAAAGGTTGAATGGTTTAGGTCGCCACAAGGATCAAAAATTCGATAAAACTGAACAAACACTTTAATCCACATCTGTTCAGCCAAACCTACATACTTTTGAGCACATCTTACAATCCCATGATTCCTGAGAACAGGACAGGCACGTAACGCGTGCTTACAGGCATCATGACATTCCTAACAGGGAGGAAAACCGGAGAACCCGGAGTAAGACCCCCGGAGCAAGGACGAGAACAACAAACTCCACTCACTTATCACGCCGGGTCTAGGAATCGAACTCGTGCCACATTGGCGGGAGGCGAGCACTCTCACCATTGTGCCACTCCTGCTCCCTTACAACTTCGCAGCTGTAAAAGTTAATGAAGGTGTTGGGAAAAGAATCTGAAAGGACTCAAAGACAAAGTATGTCATTCGTACTGAATAACATTGATTCGCAATCCATCGAGTGAGACTTATAATGTTTATAAACAATAGGGTGCTGAGACTGCGCAGTACTGTCTGGAAATCACCCAATAGATTCGAGCTACACCATTTTATATACACGAGACTGCTGGAACCCCCCTTCCTTCCCCCACGGCCACAAAGGGTTAGGGTTGAGGGAGTGTTAAAAAAAGAGGAACTATTAGAAAACATATGATGTAATGAGACTTCAGAATGCAAGGAATGCGGACTTAACATGATTCTTCGAAATTTTCAGGGGGGCATACCCCCGGACTCTGGCGCTCGCAAACCACCCTCCCAGGCTGCGTACTTCCCTGAAAATAGATACATACATTAAAAAAGGAAATGCATGTGTTGATACAAATACATGTAGAGTGAAACAGAAACATACGCTCGTCGCGTTGTGATGGAAACTCGAGTAACTGTCAACTGCTATAGCTCGAATATACTAAGTAGAACGACTTAATACTCGGGAAATATTTCACTGCCGGACACGGAGTATTTACGATTTCGTGCCTGGAAGCTCCTGGAAAACACTACATTTCACGGCAGTTTAAAAACTGGTAATCGTACTCTTTAGCCATGTAAACAACAATAACACCGACTAGGATGGTATAGCTCAAATATGTTGAGTGTAATGACTTAATATTCGAGAAAATATTCGACTGCTGGACAAGGAGTAATTTGAATTTCCTGTCCGGAAGCTCGCGGCAAACCAGCATACCGGTTGCCAAGCTCGCAAAAACTCACACTACGGTGGAAATAGTGAAGTTTTCAGCCATTTAAAGAAGGATTTATTATTACCTGAAAATTAAAAAAGAAATTGACTGCCGGGGAAAGAGTACCATACAACCCCAAACATTAATTCTGCATTCCACTTCTTTGTCTTTCACGACAAAACTTTAAAAACAAAGGCTACTAGTCTGAATGCATAATTAATGATGGGGTTATATAGTACTCCTGCCGACTGCCGGACACGGAGTATTTTGAAAACACTGTCCGGCTGCCGGACATAGAGACACAGCGTTTGTTAATTCCAGTGAGCTAGGGTTCGATTTTTTTTGCTTTGAGGCAATAAAGGCTTAACAAAGAAACTTGAAGAAAAGACTTTTGGTTCCTATTCTTTGTATGTTTTCTTGTTAGGATTCTGTACAGAGCAAAATGTGAATTCTTGACCCATGACTCTAACAGGAGTGATATATACAGTACAGTGTAGTATACTCTGAAAAATACAAACTGTACTTTAAAATTTGCTTTTTATACTTCAGAACCACACTTCATTGTCTCGCTGGTCTTTATTCTGACTATTAAATTTTCCGTGCAAAAATTAGTTTTAAACTTTTTAAATTTTGTTTGACTTTCATGCTTCAACATGTCACTTAGTTAAGTTAATCCTCTTGGTCATTGGTTCCACCGAATCGAATTGAATATAATATTAATGTAGACCCTTTCAGAATTACCGTTTGCATTCTTGTTTGCAAACAAATGAACAAAGTAAATATTAGTTTTACTAAATATTAATTGCACAAATCGCAATCTAAATTTGCGTTATCAATGAAGTACTGACATATTTGCACCAGCACCTTCTTGTTTGAGGAGACTCTGGGGTTGTTGTCAAACCTCTCGGTCAGAACTTGCTTCACCCTTTCTTCCTTGCCTCTTTGGTATACCACTTGTAGGTGATGGAGACCCAAACTTGAGCTTGCACGCTTAATGGCCATTGAGGCTGAAATGTACTTCTCTTCAACTAATGGCTACAGGGTATTAACCAGAAGGGTTTCTTTTAGGAGCTTCTGATAGGATGCTACCCATGAAACTTTGAAGCTGTACTTTTGTAGCAGTTTGACATTTAGAAACTTGTTCACCAGCTGGTAGAGTGTTTGCACATCTGCAAGAGCATTTTGAGCTTCATAAGATTTACACAGAAGATCTTGTAC